ATATTCTCTAAAATATTTTAAAATAATACATTTTATTATTGAAAGAAAATGCAATGAAAGTGAATATGTATTATTCCAATATCAAAATATTACACACATGTAATCAAATATGTTAATAAATGTAATAAATTTTTTTGATATAATGTTATTACGAAATTGATTATTATCAGAACAATTCTTCTTCACGATATTAATTATTAATTAGAATAATAATTTGTAAACGTATACTTATGAAGATATATGTACGTGAAAACTTGTTAACTTACACTCCAAAACCTTGAATCAAACATAGTGTTCTAGGTGAGAGAAATAACTATCAAAATAATTATCAAATAACAGTTTTTTATATTTTAAAAGTAAATCACAAAAGATGAGTATTAATTTTAAAAGAATTCTTATATGTAAAAAATTAACCTTGGCATACACATAATGAGGTATTCAAATACATGTTCGAATTAGTCTGAGTCAAATCAGACATGAAGTTAGGATAATGTATACTGGCCTCGTCTAATGTAAGTCCACGATTGTAGCACTGGCATCAAGAACTTTTAATGTACTCGGATCTAATATCTTTATATTATTATCGTTTTTAATATATACTGACTGTTGTTAAGTACATTGTATTTTGTGTCAATTGTCCCTTGATCATCTAGTATTTTTACGGTATTTCCTCCTCCCAATTGAACACCATAATAGATGACGTGATAGAATATTAAAAACAGTATCGACATTCTGTGAAGTTTTGTAAGATATGTCGGTCGACAAGAGTACTTCACAGATGGTACTATTATTTCTGGTATTCGAAGAACATGCATGCGAAAATGTTGTGTGAGGTCAAGATTCCAAGATTACCTTATCTTGTTAGTATAACATTTTTACTATTAATTTTTAAATCATGGCGTAGAAACCAAAATTGCAAATCAAGATTTTTATATTGATAAATTATCTTTAAAGAAAAAGAACATGAACTAGAGAAGAAAATGGGACAAGTCAAGTTTGCGCGTCACGCCGCGAGGCGTTAATCAATTCTGAGTTAGGAAAGTTGTGACGACGTGAGATTGCTCATTATCAATCAGACGAAAGTGCAACGTAAGACAAGAGATTGACGCAGATTATAAATGTAGATACTTCGGCAGGTTGAATTGAGTCGGTGACCGCGCGTTTTCCGTCGATTGCAAAACGAAACCTCGTGCGCTTATAGTGCAAGACATGCATTCCGCGCCCATTATTGGAGTCATTTATTAATCAACTAATACAATGAAATAAGGGCAATGAGCCAATTTTCATTAAAATCTTTAAATCAATCTAATATATTGCGAAGAATATCACGTAATTATGGCGTTTCGTCCCAACTTCCACTACTGAACTCATCAATAAGGCATTGTAGTGGAAGCCTACCTTAGACGCCTGTTTTAGTTATTAAATCGAGATTCTATATATACAGATACACGCGTATCAAAGCACTTGCGAGAATCTTAGCGAATATCTATAGACCTCTGATGGCGGGTCGACGTAGTAATATTCATTCAAAGTAATATATGTATATGTATTCCCTTCCCACCCCCCCCAACTTGCGCGCCGAACAATCGTCGGTCTTGAAACGCAACTCTATCTGAAAATTCCCCCCAAATTGTGCGCCGAACTATCTTCGGTCTTGAAACGCAACTCTAAACTGAAATAACGTCCCCTTAATTTATTTGAAATTTAAACGCATTGATTTCGCCCGCGTAAATTAAATATTTTTGATAAGGCTCAATAAATATTAAACAACTAATATAATGAAATAAGGGCAATGAGCCAATTTTCATTAAAATATATTACTTTGAATAATATATTGCGAAGAATATTACTACGTCGACCCGCCATCAGAGGTCTATAGATATTCGCTAAGATTCTCGCAAGTGCTTTGATACGCATATATCTGTGTATATAGAATCTCGATTTAATAACTAAAACAGGCGTCTAAGGTAGGCTTCCACTACAATGCCTTACTGATGAGTCCAGTAGTGGAAGTTGGGACGAAACGCCATAATTACGTGATATTCTTCGCAATATATTAGATTGATTTAAAGATTTTAATGAAAATTGGCTCATTGCCCTTATTTCATTATACAATATTAGTTGTTTAATACTTATTGAGTCTTATTAAAAATATTTCATTTATTAATACTTCCTCTCCGTCATTGACCTCTCCATTAACTCAGTTTACGTAAGCGACAGGTAACTGGCGCGAAGCACGGTTAGATCCGTTGCTTCTCGAATAGCGGATCGTTGCACCATCGTTGTCGTCGTCAACGTTGTTTGATTGCCATATTGGGACGGAGCACTTCCTGACCGGGTCCAGCTCGGACCCCGCTGCGACTTTCACAAAGAAACGATCTCGTTCGCGGCTTTAACTCTCGATCATATACCTTGTTAGACACGACGATTCGAGAACGATTGCCGTTACGCTGTGCGCGCACAGATGCTGTAAATTGTACTCTCTCTTTCTCGCGCTAAGCTGCCGCTCTGCAGCTTCGAGCTGCATTGCGGGTCTGTGGATTTTATGTGGCTATTTCAATTCTTTGTGTACTATCGATTTATTTTATTTGCATCGTTGATTATAAGCATGCGTATCATATCAATATGGTTTTTATTAGGCACGTGTATTATTCTTAATTATGCATGACAGTCAACACATTTATTCGTTTCTACCCAATAATTATGGATTATATATTTAATCGCTTTTGTCTAAGAGAGATTGATATACGATTGCTATATCGTATAGCAATTCGGGATTTTCCATCAGGTAAATAAGATACGTGCCTTTATCTGAGATATGTCGAATTATTACTAACGGAAAATGCGAGTCTATCACGCTTCACGTGTTTGCCATTCGCGGGAAGGCTCGTGGCGACGAGCGAGTTTTACGTTGGTTTGCAAGATTCCTCCACGAAACGATAGTTTATCAATCGGTATAATTACGCTTATTTATGCGAACCTCACGGATAATGTATCGTGCATCTTTGGTTGTAATGCTGCGACTCCTAAGGAAATCACGGGCAAATTCTTCTAAGGAATTCCTGAGCACTTCTTGCGCTTTACTTCCGTCTCGGCCTTTTATGTGACTGATAATCTCGCGCGGTGATTCGTATTTGAAACTGCGGCAAGCCTGCGGTCATTAATTTCCTGCCGGAGTGGAACTGTGCGCGCGTTCGAACCTCGGAGATCAAAGGATAATATTTCTCACACCGACCGACAGTATAATCGGCACGCAACGTTTCGCCCGGCTGTACATGATGCGTGTGTGTAATCTCATGCATGTACACGTCGTCACATTTACGCGTATCTACGGTGCGTATTTTATACGGTATACATAAGCGTTACGCCCGTGCTGCTATATACATTTAATACGCGAGCACGTTTCACATGCGCGCGTGCTTACGCGAAAAAAATCGATGACCGCGGCGAGGTGTGCGGCACACTTTGGTCCCGTCAGAGTTCCGGTCAGAGTCGTCGGTCACTTTTCCATCGTGTTGAAACGCGCCCATTTAGATCTCAACGTGACGCAAAGTGAAGAGCGAGGTGAAGAGCAAAACGCGTTGAGAACGGAACGTGCACGCGAATCACTTCCGAGACAGGATTGTGATTCCCGTCATGAAAGACGCCTCTCCTGCGCCTTTCCTCTTCTCGGAGTTAAGATACAACGAAAGGGTTAAAACATTAGGAATACAAAAGTTACAACTAGAGAATTTTTGATCAAAATACTGACATTCTAAAAACAAATTTTAGCAATCTTATATTTGCTTTTATAATTTCAAATAATCATAACTTGGTAAATAATGAAGATAAAAATGTTTAAAAATCAAAATTAAGCTTGAAATGTTCACTTTAAAATTATTTGAATGAGAATTGTACTAGGCCATTAATAATCAAAGGTCCAACTTTGCGATGGTGCATGGTATACCGAAAATTGGCCTACTCGCGCCAAAAATCAACGCTCGTATCAGCTCAATTGCTCGTTACCACGGCATAAATAATAGTATATCTATGATGGAAGTGAATATACCTAGATCTAGATTGATTGTCCAAGAAGTGGCATCGCCCAGCGGTCTCCATTTTTCTAATAACCGCAGATGAGGCATATCATTTTATCAGTCTAGGTATATTATTGTCTATGTTTATACTACTGACGACTGACACGCCAAGCCAATCGAACGGCTAAGAGTAAAGTCACTAGACTTATATGTTCCAAATTTACTACTAGCAATGCAAATATAAGGCCTGTTCTTTTTACTGAATTGGTGCACAGAGTGCATTAAGTTGAAATGAAACAGATATACGTTTAAATTAAATTAAGATATACGTTTGTTTCATTTCAACTTATTGCACTGTGTGGACCAGTTCAGACAGTGCAGGCGAAAAAAAAACAAGTTTACATGCACGTTACATGCACTATATGATATGACGCGCGAGGTGGCCAGGAGTTCAATTACGACGTTTGCACAATTGTTATGAAAAACTATACAAAATCCAGACCGCTTCAAAAAACCCGCCCGGTTTTCGGACGCTTTCCGACGCCTTCAAAACTAGGACAAATCCGGGAAAATCCGGACGGATGGCAATCCTAGATATAGATATCTCCTTTATAAGGGTCTGAAGTTTCAATTCTATCTCATTACGATGGAAATCGCTTGAGAGAAAAGTCTAGACGTCAAAAGTTATCGTAACCAATATGTGGACTACTTTACTACCATTTTAATTTTGCGCAATACGTGTTTCGCGACACGAACGTTCAGAGTTAATTAGCCATTGATGCAAACGTTTCGTTTAGAATATGGGCATTTCAAGATACGCTCTTTCAAGATTCTAGTTTCGTCTCATCTTTGAGAACGTTTTTGCACCGGTTCAGTTTTCGCGTTGCTCACATATGTATGAGTGCTTCGATTGCGCTACCGCGCATATCTAATCTTCGCCAAGGCCGCTGATACAGGATTCCGGACGTTACATTAGCAGGGTCGTCTCAGTAAGTAGATGTCTCGTCGCTGCGTCCGATCAAAAACTGAATATTTTAAAATCTTTGGATATATAAGCGTCTAGGATAGCAGCTCAATATGAAGTGTGAGAATATTCCATCTTTCTTTTTCCGTAAATACATACATATTTACGCGCTATTGTTAATATTATTTTAAAAAAGCATTAATCTATAAGTCTGTTATTTGTTTCTGCACTGTCTGAACTAGTGCACACGATGCAATAAGTTGAAACAAACGTTTAAATATTTGTTTCACTTTTCAACTTATTGCACCGTGTGTACTAGTTTAGACAATGCAGGAACAAAAAACAGAGCCATTAATTTAAATATTATTAAAAAAAAAATTAATTATTTTTTTATTATATAATATTAACAAAAATGAAGTCTATGTTTATACTACTGACGACTGACACGCCAAGCCAATCGAACGGCTAAGAGTAAAGTCACTAGACTTATATGTTCCAAATTTACTACTAGCAATGCAAATATAAGGCCTGTTCTTTTTACTGAATTGGTGCACAGAGTGCATTAAGTTGAAATGAAACAGATATACGTTTAAATTAAATTAAGATATACGTTTGTTTCATTTCAACTTATTGCACTGTGTGGACCAGTTCAGACAGTGCAGGCGAAAAAAAAACAAGTTTACATGCACGTTACATGCACTATATGATATGACGCGCGAGGTGGCCAGGAGTTCAATTACGACGTTTGCACAATTGTTATGAAAAACTATACAAAATCCAGACCGCTTCAAAAAACCCGCCCGGTTTTCGGACGCTTTCCGACGCCTTCAAAACTAGGACAAATCCGGGAAAATCCGGACGGATGGCAATCCTAGATATAGATATCTCCTTTATAAGGGTCTGAAGTTTCAATTCTATCTCATTACGATGGAAATCGCTTGAGAGAAAAGTCTAGACGTCAAAAGTTATCGTAACCAATATGTGGACTACTTTACTACCATTTTAATTTTGCGCAATACGTGTTTCGCGACACGAACGTTCAGAGTTAATTAGCCATTGATGCAAACGTTTCGTTTAGAATATGGGCATTTCAAGATACGCTCTTTCAAGATTCTAGTTTCGTCTCATCTTTGAGAACGTTTTTGCACCGGTTCAGTTTTCGCGTTGCTCACATATGTATGAGTGCTTCGATTGCGCTACCGCGCATATCTAATCTTCGCCAAGGCCGCTGATACAGGATTCCGGACGTTACATTAGCAGGGTCGTCTCAGTAAGTAGATGTCTCGTCGCTGCGTCCGATCAAAAACTGAATATTTTAAAATCTTTGGATATATAAGCGTCTAGGATAGCAGCTCAATATGAAGTGTGAGAATATTCCATCTTTCTTTTTCCGTAAATACATACATATTTACGCGCTATTGTTAATATTATTTTAAAAAAGCATTAATCTATAAGTCTGTTATTTGTTTCTGCACTGTCTGAACTAGTGCACACGATGCAATAAGTTGAAACAAACGTTTAAATATTTGTTTCACTTTTCAACTTATTGCACCGTGTGTACTAGTTTAGACAATGCAGGAACAAAAAACAGAGCCATTAATTTAAATATTATTAAAAAAAAAATTAATTATTTTTTTATTATATAATATTAACAAAAATGAGTGAGATGAATTAATGGTGATATATAAACTTAAACAGTCTTTCTTATATTCTTTCGCTTATTGAAGTACATGGTATCGTTTGTCGAAACTGTTGAATCAACTTTAAAATTTAACTTCTTTTTCGATTGTGCCTCGTATACGTACGCGAATCTGGCGTTTCCGCACAACGGTAACTCATTGTTCCTAAGTAGACGAAAGAGACGAAATAACAGCGACCGTAACTCGTATAGGAAGCAAATAGATATCGGTGTCGCGTACTTTGTCTCTCGAGTACAAAGGCTTTTCGCAGAAAATGAAGGCGAATATTAGAGAAAACTGTTCGGTTATCCTCATATGTAAAAAGTATTTAAGTTTTGCTGTAGAATATATAGGATGCGTCAGGTATTTGAGGACACTCACTTATTTGCCTGCCAAGTTTTCGCAGAAAGTTTTTTCATTTTTTTTCTCTTCAGATCATAAATGGAGGACAATAAACTAACTCAGGAAATGAAAAGACACGCTGTTATCGTCGCTATACACGCGCATCACAGCGATCTTGAAATCTCTCAATTTTTGAAAGTCGCCCGATCGTTTGTTCACAAAGTTCGTCGAGAGTTAAAAGCATCTAATGGCAATGTGGAAAGTGTTGCCAAGCGCAAAAAGCATGAGACACGTTCAGACAGCGTTAAAACATCACAGTTTATGCAGCAAGTCCAGGGCATTATTGATGAAGACCCTTCAAAATCCGTAAGGGCCATATCGCGAGACCTTCAAGTTTCTGAGTGCACAATCCGTCGCATTATTCACGAAGACATCCGGTACAAGTCCTACGTGATGCGCAAAGGTCAGTTTATGTCGACAAAAACTCGAGAACAGCGATTCATCTGGGCACGACGACTTTTAAACAAGTTAAAACATCCTGAAATCCCCGATATGCTCTGGTTTTATTCTGACGAAAAAAATTTTGACCAGGATCAAAAAATAAATCGGCGAAATGATAGATGGCTATGTGCGGATCCTTCAGATGTTCCTCATGTTATGCACACAAAATTTCCGGCAACTGTCACGGTTTTGGGAGTGGTGAGCAATGAAGGACACGTCATGCCACCCCACTTCTTTTCTCAAGGACTTCGGGTGAATGCTGCTGCCTACATTGAGGTTTTGGAAGCAGTTGTGAAACCCTGGATAAATAGCGTGCGTGGTGAGAGGCCATACGTATTCCAACAGGACTCTGCTCCTTCACACAAAGCCGTGACGACGCAAGGGATGTCCGAGAATCTGCATGATCACATAACCCCAAACATGTGGCCACCTAGCTCCCCGGATCTTAATCCTTTGGATTATTATGTATAGGGCGTTGTTGAACGGGAGACCAATAACATCCCCATAATACGCTTGATTCCCTAAGAGCAGCTATTACCACCCGTACGAAAAAAAACCTTCAATTTTGAGCGTTAAACGCTCAAAAAGAACACTCAAATTTTTGTGTTAAACACTTTAAAAAACGCTCAAATTTGGGTGTGATTTCGGATCGTCAATTGAAGGTTTGAGATTTCGACATTTCGGTCGGCCATGCTCGGTTCGCCATTTTGAATTTCTCAATTTCGACTTCAGAATCGGAACCAGCAACCTCGAAAATCTCCTCAGTATACAGTATCATCCGAATGAAGTGTCACTTCTGCATTTTTTTAAAAGATATATACTTCATTTTTTATACTTTTTTCATTCTCGGCGCTGCACCAGTCCGCCATTTTAAATTTTCACAAAACGCCACACGCCAATAAAAAGTAGACACTCCAACGAAAATTTTAAGCCCTGGTTGGTTGAATTCTGTCAAAAAATGAAATGGGCAGAAGGGGACTCCGACACGCGGAGGATGCCCCATATATATATATATATATATGGGACGATCCACGTCAGATTTACCCCTCATCTGTCCAAAATTTGTATGGGCGGATTTTAATGAATAAGGGCGAAAAATGTTCGTCTTTAAAAGAGCTTTCAAATGGTATGTGGCATATATGCGGAATTCAACAGTACGTCATAGATATGGCGGCTTAAAGAGATAAATTCAAAATTTCTTACCCAACATGGGCATATAAGAAAGTGAAAAATAAGTACACTCATTTGAAACTCGCTATTCGGGAGTTTCTGGGGTCGTTGATTACGAATCTGAGCCTGAAATTTTGAAATTCAAAATTGCGAAGCCAATATGGCGAATGCAAATATGAGGAGCGGAAGAAAATGCAAGTGATCTGAAAACTCTTACTAGGAGGTTTTTGGAGTCGGTGATCACGAACTTGTAGCTAATATGTTAAAAAACAACAGATAAACCGTGTTAATTACAATTCTACCCTTAGCATTACCCAGAGATGACGGCGTGGACGTGGTAGAAATTCATCTCCTTCGGGGTGCTGTATTTTCGTGAGTTCCCCTTGCCTCTCACGCTTCGGTGTTTTTGTTTTCTTTAGTTGTACTGTAGAGTGTTCAATGGTTGCT